CACTAGGATTTAGGATTTCCTCAACTAAGGGCTTATCTCAAATGCTTTAGTGTATGAACAGTAAAAAATCAGAGTTGCAATGCCACATTCAGAAACTAGATAATGACTTGGAAATAAAAGAGGGGAAAAGCGATGAACTGCCACTTATCTGTTCTTCTAAGTTTATTTTCTATTAAAGAGCAAAACTTTAAATGCTAACTACAAAAGTCAATCTAACAGGCCTAGAGATTCTGTAGTCAAGCCAATCAGCACGGAAAACTTTCAGGTCACTACTAGTAGGCCTTTGTATTGTTCAGATATAACTAATGTCAATCAATATGAAAATAAGACTGATGCTATTTCTAACTACTACAGAAAATCTGGCAAGAGACACCTAATATTCCCTTTTATAATAAACATCACTTCAAAAAATGATTCCCTCTATCTCATACCTATAGAAAAGTTATCAGTATTTCTTTTTAATATGACATAACAAGCTAATTGTTTTGCATATACTATTCAGATATTATTTTTCTCTCTTCTCAGACTGGAAGAAAAAAAAGAGATGCCATGGATAAAAACGATTGTTGCATGCCACAGAGTTCTACGTCTCCTGGAAGTCTAAGCACCTACCTGCCCCCACTGGCCTAGCCATGCCTGGATCCCCTCAGGAGACTAAAAAGGAAGAGCAAAATACGGCCTTTCCCTGGAAATTTAAATAGGATCCTTAGAAGAGTACACGCCATGCTGAGTTTTTCTCGTAGACATTAGTCATTTATTTGTAGTAATCAGAAACTGATTCAACAGAGTATAGTACCTATAAACATTGTCACAGACACCACACTGTAAATTCATCAAGTGTGGCCTTTCCATGAAAAACCTAATGATTCCTTTTTAAAGTATAGTCAACAGATCCTTTCTGGGGACTTCCCTTCACGCAGTACCTGGCACCTACTCAGGAAAACATTCAGGTTATCTACATCCTCTAGTCCAGCAGTTCTCAACCTGTGGGCTGTGACCCACAGGAACTGTATTAAAGGGCCGCAGCATTAGGAAGGTTGAGAACCACTGCTCTAGACATACTCACAGCATTATCAACATATACGTGGGGTCCCTTTCCTGGTGATTTCAACTAAGAATCCCAAGAGTCAGGGAAAGCAAGACAGATCTCTGGAAGAGATCGATACATGTTTCCCAGTCCATGGAAAGACTGAAGCTTTACTTTCCCCACGTGACATTTAATCCCGTCTGTAACAGTGTTATAAGAATGCCACTTACGAGCCCCATGGGACCGGTGCTGGTCATGTATTACTTCATTTAGTGAATCCAACCACTCTCGCCAACTATTACGACCAGTCCTCCTTTTACAAATGAGAAAGCAGGTTAGGCAAATCACAAATCTAGATCTCACAACTAGATTAGGGTAGGGCTGAGATTTAATGCCAGAGTCAGTCGGCTTACAAAGTACACGTTCACTCACCACCCCGTATGCCTACACCATTTCACTACCAGTATTTAGGCAATCTGGTTTCTAGTCTAATTAAGTTTTTAAAAAAATCAAACAGGTCTAAGAAGGTAAGAAGTTCTACCACCACTAGTGAGAAGGGTACTAGGGACAGTGAAATGTGATATGGTTTAGCCCTTAATAAGGAACTCAAAGCTTAGCTGAGAAAACCAGCCTTGAATACTTGAACAGATTCCAGTAATATCACACAATGCCTTTCAGAGCTAGAGCTTAATAAAATAAACAACAGTCAGTATCATAAATCAATTTATACAAAAATTCCATAAGGGAACACCACCAAGTAAAATAGAAACTGCCATCAGGAAGATTTTTCCAAATTATCAAGTTATGTCAACTGGGTTTCCCACATTTGTGACTTGAGTTCTCAATTAGATTCAATTTACACCAGTCTATAAATTACAAAGGAGGAACCTACAAAGTTATCTTTTCAAACAGAAAGGCCACGTAGTAATATGAAAATCTAAGAAACTTGGCAAACATACGCAATTCCAAGGCTTGCGCTAAACATAGCATGTAACTAATGACAGAGGTGGCTAGAGAGGGCTATTTTTGCGGGATCAAGTTTAAATACCTTAGCAATGAGTCCAGAGTCCAGGTGAGAGAATTCACACTGAACAAATCGTGATTGTTTCCATAGTCTTACCACTGATACAGCAATAGCTATGAAGTGATTAAAAGTCATTGCGATTAATAAGTTCTCAATAAACATGTTCAACTTAATTGGTGACAAGATGAACGAGCTACTTATTCAACTGTTACCAATAGGGTGATTTACTCAAAGACACACAGTAGCAGAGCACCAATGTTTTTAAAGACCACTAAAGATACAACCCCCACCACTTTCCCTAATAAAAAATAAACTGCAGAAGTCAAACTCATGCTTATGTACACATGCTTATGTACAAGTACCTACCCCATCTGCCAACTACAACCAAACTGAGTATTGATAAAAACTGCACTTGAAATAACATACACATAGGGTAGTTTCACACTACAGCAATTCTGGAACTGTTAGAAAATGTTTATAATTAAGATATTCCTGTATCATTTTTAATTTTTTAAACGTTATTTAATGAGTTCTGGATGCACTTAAAATACATGGGGGTGAGATCTCCAAGGATTAACATTGCCTAAGGTCTGGGAAGGTCTTTTCTCAGCCCTAACACATAAAGATGAAAACTCTCATGTAGTAATTAGGTACCTTAAAATTATAGTAAGAAAATGAGCCACAGGTACGTACGGCTGCTTGAGAGGTGAATGTAAACTTAAACTGCATGAAGAGAGGCAATGGCATTTCCCTGGTCCTCTGGGAAATCTAAGTTGTCCAAGTTCAACTGCAGTCTGCCTGTTTTACACCATACTACTGATAGCAATTCTGAGAACACGTGGCAGGGGTTAGCCAAGAATGTTCGGGACACCTAGAACTATCTAAATAAAGGTCAGAGAAAAAGAAAACAGGGTACTCAGCCTCAGTAGGAGTATGGGAAGGTGATAGTTAACTCTAAATTGTCACCAGAGAGCAGAACAAGCAGAGTTATTTAAGTAACTACACTCCAAAAGAGAAAATTAGAACAAAGTAGTTATTTTGTGAATGTTATTTTGCGGGAATGTTAAAATTTAATTTTCTTTTTCTATACCACAAAGGGATTATTTGATAGTTACAACCCTATGTGACCAAGGGGAATTTTAACAACTTCAGTGTTCAATTGCCAAATCTTTAAGATAAAAGTGTTAGAGAAGACAAGTTTTAAAAGCAACACTTTTGCCAGTAACATCCAAGGTAAGAAACTTCCAGCTTTGGGCAGATGTGGCCAGCCTTGTGTAACTGTGGACAGTCAGGGATGGATAGCAAGACAGAAAACAAAAGCTCAGCACGCTCTCCTCTTTCCTTGTGGCTACTCCCAGTACACACTCACCATTCCTAGAAACTCTGCCAAATACCTGCTTCTGTTTTATGTATTCAAAAATACAAAACTTAAAGTTTCCCTTGTAAGAAAAGTTAGTGAGGCTCAGTACCCGTAGCTGAGTAAGGGCGCTGGCCACATATACCAGGGCTGGCAAGGTTCAAATCCAGCCTAGGCCTGCCAAACAACAACTACAACCAAAATATAGCTGAGCATTGTGGGGGGTGCCTGTAATCCTAGGTACTTGGGATGCTGAGACAAGACAATTGCTTAAGCCCAAGAGTTTGAGGCTGCTGTGAGCTGTGAAGCCATGGCACCCTACCTAGCACAACACAATGAGACTCTGACTCAAAAAAAAAAAAGTTAGTGACCTAACTTCAGATTTTAAATAGCCCAAGATTAAATGGTATGTTACACCACACTGAGAGCCATTTAAAACTGGATAGAGGGTCAGATTATAAAGATATTCAATAAATTTACAGCCCCCACACCTGTGGCATAAATCAATAGTCAACACACATTCCTTTGGCAAGAGCTGCCTTTATGGTGCACAATCTGACCAAGTATTTGGCCTTTACTACCATAACTTACAAAGATTCCAGCAATGTTGCCGATTTAATGTTCAATGAAATTCTAACCAATATTTAAATGTAACCAGAAATATTCTAGTGTGATTATTCCATGGGAACAAAATTAGGCACTTACAGAAACACATTAACTCTTTCAAGCTACCAGTCATCATTTAATAACAATACTTGTCCATGCTGAGAACTATGATAGTAGTCTGAAACTGTTAATTTGCCTAAGTTCCAAAAGACTACATGAGCTTCCATATGTATTTAAATTCCAATGACAGATGCTTATTTATTTCCTATAACATTTAAAACATTTTTAAAGGTGTGAGGGGAAGAGAAAGAGAAGCCAGACATTAACGAGTGCAGCAGTTAAGTCTTCCAACAAAAAGAAGAGATTTATTATAGAATCTTTGATGGGCCACATCAAATACCTCATTTTGGGTTCCAAAATGGTTATTCACTTATCTACTGTCGTTTTAGAAAATGGAAGGTCCACTGTACACTTTAACATGCTATGCAAATTACTCTGTATACTGCATAAAACTTCCAACACGAAGAATTTAGTAAAACTGATGGACATCTACAACATCCTTCCCTTTTACCTAATACAAATAAACATGTTTCAGAGGTTAGAGTGCTTAAAATGTTTATGTAATAGAAAGATTTGATAAAAATGTAACAAGATAATAAATTAAACAACCTTATGAAATGAACTTTAAGACAGACAAGGAGAAAGCTATCCTTTCATTATTCTGGTCTTCTGGGATCCAATTTCAAATGAACACTACACTTTATCCCATTAGATCAAATCCTGATTAATCTAACACAAGCGCCAAGTTAAGCTTTTAAAAATATTGCTTTAATGACCATTTTATGTAAGGAATACTCCTTGTGGAAAGATGTTAAATATGTAATAATACTATAATTAAAAAAAAAAAGGAAAAAGCCCCACACTTGCAAAGAGAAAAAGCTATAGTTAGAGACCAGGACAAAAATACCAATGGGCTTTGGCCAAAATTAGTATAAATAGACTTTATTGAAGTCAGTGCCTCTGTACTGAGACAGAAGATTGTGTCTACATAAGCACAAGTTGTAACATTTCACAACTTCTAAAAGGAATGTCAACAATTACAACGATCATGCATACCATGGTCGATAATCACATTTTAGAAGCATTTTCAACCATTTCTAAAGAAATGCTTATAACATTGTTATATATAGAACTACTTTCAATAAACTGCAAAACATTGATCGACTTTTCCAGTATGAGCTACAGTGTCAACACAAAAGGGAGGCATAAATGTTTAATTTATGAAATCAGAATGGAATATTTACTGTAAAGAAAAATTAAAAAGCTTTCAAATAAAGGCCATTATTGAACCAACGTGAAGAGCACAACTTGAACTTTTGAGTTCATTCATCTTTTAAAGCTGTCCTCTGAATAACTTCAGTTCTAAGCATTGAATTCAGTACTGTGAATATTCCTTGGATTGAAGTTTGGCAATGATGCGGTCCAACTGTCTCTTTGCTTCACACTGTGGGAAATTGCTCATGTCATAATATTGAGGGGCAATTTTCACCAACCTGTCCAGAAGAAGGGGAAAAATCACCAAATTAACATTTAATTAACGCATAGGTGGTGCTAAGAGGATAGACACCACTTATCAATACACTTGATGAACTAAGGCAAATCTTCAAATCTAAATGACAAAAATACAAATCCCTAATCCTTATAGATACCGCTTTTAGAAATATTAAATATTTACTAAGATGTCAATTTTCTGATGTTGAACATAAACTTTTCAAAAAATACCAACATACATTCTTTTAAAAACCTTTTCTTTCCATTAATATAAAGATGACAACACTTAAGTTCACTGACTTCTTCATTCTAGCACTCTTCACTCTAGAGTTTTAGCCTGCCTCTCCAAGGTTATGGTAATAACAGTCTCTGCATACAAAGCATCTTGACATTCAAATGATTGGATCTTCTCATTTTCAAAGTTTTAACAGCTGTAAATGTAACTCTATATCCCCCAAAATACACTTGACTGAAATCTTTCATAAAGTTTACCATACAATTTTTTCTCAACAAAGCATTTTAGATAAAATGGTAATGTCCTATACAATTTAAGTGTCAAAAGTCACAAATCAGTATAGGGAAAAAGCCACACAATGTGTATACAAGTGACACCACCTAAATAGTGCCTTCAATCCCACTGCTCTTGGTTGACATTTTCTATCGTAAGTTATAAAATGAATACTGGCAAAAATAAATAAAACAAAAAACAACTCCAAAGGAGCAGGGGTTATTTTGCTTAAAATAAAACAGTCAGTTCTGATTACATTTTGTAAAATCTAATTAATATGCTAAAATACAAAGAGCTGTGCATCTTATGCTTGCACAGGTCCTAAAACCAATACATAAATAATAAATAGGTGAAAGCTATTGTAATGGGACAAATAAAATATGTAAA